AGAGTGGTTAAGGAGGCATTTAGCATGCTTGCCTTCATTGCTCACACCTTTGTGATTGGAGTTAGGACATTATATTGAGGTTGTATAAGACAGTGAAGAGGCTCTTCTGGAGTACTGTGTCCAGTTCTGGTTGTTCTGTTATAGGAAGGATATCATGAAGCTGGAGGGGATTCAGAAAAGATTTATCACAATGTTGCCAGGAATGATGGGTTTCAGTTATAAAGGAGGGGCTGGATAGGTTGGGACTTTCTTCACTGGAGTGTAGGAGGTTGAGGAGGTGACCTTACACAGGTTTATAAAATCATGAAGGGTATGGATAAGGTGAATGGTAGGTGTCTTCTCGCTGGGGTGGAGACTTCAAGACTAGAGGCATATTTTTAAGGTAAGAACAGAGATTTTAAAAAGACATGGGAGCAACTTTTTCAAAAAAAAAAGTGTGTGTGGAATGAACTTCCAGAGTAAGTGATAAATGTGGGGTACAGTTACAACATTTAAAAGACATTTACATAAATACATGAATAAGAAATGTTTGGAGGGATACAGATCAAGCACAAGCAATGGGACTAGTTTAATTTAGGGTTACGTCGGCATGGACTGGTTGGACCGAAGGGTCTGTTTCCGTGCTGTATGACTAATTAGGAAAGCAAATAGAATGTTATCATTTGTTGCATGAGGAATTGAACACAAAAGCAGCAAGGTTATGCTTCAGCATAACAGGGCACTTATGAGACTGCACTTGTAGTATAGTGTACAATATTGGTCACCTTATTTAAAGGATGTACGTGTGTTGGAAGCAGTTAGAGTCATCGAGTCAAAGTCACACAGTTCATAGAAGACTGACCAAACTAATATCTAGAATGAGCAGGTTGCCTTTGAAGAAAGGTTGGACAGATTGGGCTTGTATCTCCTCCAGTATACAATAGATCCCGAGTGTGCTTGGCAGGGTAGATGGGAGTGGATGTGTCCTTTGAGAAAACTAGAAATAAGGAGTTGCCTATTTAAAACAGAGATAAGGCCTTTACTTTTCCATTCTCAGAGCATCATGAATCTTTGGAACTGTCTTCCTAAAAAGGCAGTAGAAGCAGAGAGTTTTAACCGTTTTTTTACAAAGGTAGACGTGCATAGATTCTTTGTCAAACAACGAAATGAAAGGTTATCAGGAGTAGGCAGGTACGCAGAGGAGGTTAAAAATCAGATCATCCACAATTATATTAAATGGCAGAGGGGGCTGAGAGGCCTGAACGTTCTGCTCCTCCACATTCATGAATGGCACCATACCGTGCCATAAGATTTCAATTCTTCAATAACAATCACAGTCACACAGCATGGAAACAGACCTTTTGGTTCAACTCATCCATGCTGACAAAGTTTCACTAGACTGACTTGCCTGCATTTGACCTATATCCCTCTAAAGCTTTTCAATTCATGTACCTGTCCAAATGTCTTTTAAATGCTCTTCAAGAATTGTAGAGCTGGACAAAGATGCAGAGAAGGAAGGGATTTGGGAGTGGGCAAAAAAAATTAAATTCAGTCTAACAGGAGAACTGGAAGCAAACTTTCCTGATTTTGTTTCTGGAGTGCATGTGCAATTTGTTGAAGTTTGTGGTCTTTTATTCCTACAACCCTCATTACCCGTCTCCAACACACCAGAACATTCAAAAATGGGATTACAACTGGCTACTACTTGAGAGGATTATATTGCCAAAGCAAAGAGCCCGCATATGCAAAAGTCACGAAAGTGCCCTCGTATAACGTTCTAGAATCCAGTCAAATGTGGCAAATTTGATAGAAATTCGAATACTAACTTTAAATAGAAGAATGGCTAAATAACTTGCAAGTTAGTTTTCTGGGAAAGGTGCAAATTTACTGTTTCAAATCTATCAATTGTTGGGCATTCATCAGACAAACCTATCTAGAAAGAATCAATTTAACAGAAGGAGCTGAAGTTACAGTAACTAAATTATCTTGAAAGCCAAAACTCACTCAACGGCTTCAGAATGCAATGAACACTGTGGGATAACAAATAGCTGGTTTAAGACTCTCCAATTATAGCACACATTATGGGTGGGCAGCAATCAGCAGAGTAGCTGCTCGGCCACTCCAATTAGGAGGGAACAATTTTCAATTTATGGTTGATCACAATTCAACTGGTGATTAATCACCATTTAAACTAGGAAGGAACATAGAAACACACTTGTCAATTTCCTTGACTATGACAACTAAGCAGATTTAATGCTTTGTACTTTGTTAGATTTATTGCACTGACATCTCAGATTGGCTCAAACATGCCTCAAAGCGAGAAGATCCTGGGTTGAGGCTCCAATTCATAATCTCAAGCA